TCCTTACAACCCTTCAAGGTAGTTGTTATTATTTGTCTGCTTTTACAGATAGAACAACAGGCTCACAGAAGTTAAGTAACTTCCCCAAAGGCACCAGCTCATAAATGGGAGGGTCTGGATTTGAACTCCAGGCCTACCTGAGTCCAAAGCATGTTTTGTTTTCTGTCCTCTTTGCCTGCTGCCTCACAGTTCATAGACTCAGGACTGCCTGTTGATTCCACCGTCCCTGCTCTCAAGGGATGTACAGTCTAGGTTGGAGAGACAGCGTACACACACACAGCTGTCCTGTCACACCTCAGCATGGAGCAGTGAGTGTGTTCAGGTGCTGTGTACGAGGCATGAGAGCCCCTACGGCTGACGTGGTCAGAGAAGCTGCTGGAGACCAGACAGGTCTCCAGCGAGTCCTGGTGAGCAAAGTCGGGGGGCTTGGTGGGAGCAAAGGCAGGAAGCCTGAGGCTCCAGTGACTCATCAGGGAAGAGGAGAGGAGTGGGGGGAAAGCTGGTAACGGAGGCTGGGCCCAATTGTGAAGGGCCCTAATATCAGGACAAGAAGTTTGTCCTTTATCTTGTTTTTTTAGGGGAGGTGACTGAGGGTTTTGAGCTGGGAAGTGACACAAATGAGGTTATTTAGAGGAATGTGGCAGTGTATACCAGGGGTTGAAAGGCAGAGGGGCTGGGAGCAGGGAGTCATAAGTGGATTGGTGATACAGGCCTGGCCTGGGTAGTGTGTTGGGAGTGTAGAGCGAAGTGGCCAGGCAGGAATGAGGAAAGAAGGAAGGGTCTGCAAAGAGACTCCTAACTGGGTTCCCCTGCCTCTGCCACTCACTGGCGGAGTGACCTTGGGCACATCCCCTAACCTCTCTGGGCCTGTTCTCTCTCATTTGCAGACTGAATCAGTTAGAACTGAGGCAGTGAGCGAAGGGATATTCATCAGGTATTACTATGTGCCAGGGGCTATGTTATATGCTCTTTGAGATTCCTGCCGGCTCTTGGATTGTGCCATCCGTAGAAATAAGCACCCAGGCAGGGATAAATAACACTCATTATGACACTTGGAAATTTATAAAAAGACCTCAAGCCCAAGCTTTGGAAACTTGGTTTCACATTCTGGTTCTGCCACCTGACTAGCTATATGGCCTTGGGCAAGTCACTTAACCTCACTTAAAGTTTCCTTAACTGTAACCTGGAGATGATCATGATAACCTTACCTCTTGGGATGTTATCAGGATTAAAGGAGATGCTACTGTATACAAGGTGCTCAGCAGATAGTAAACCCTGCCAGTGAAGTGTTTTCTTTCCTTTGCGACTTCCTTCTTTCTCAGTAATTCTATGAGCCAATAATAACAGTGCACACTTGTTAAGTATTTATTTTGTGCCACTTCACATATATCAACTCATTTAATCTTCACAACAACCCAGTGAGGTAGGTACTGTTAACCCCATTTTAGTCATTGAGGAAACAGAGGCATTGAGAGATTAAATGGTTTGCCCTGTTCCACATCTAGCAAATGGTATCAGGAGAAACCCAGCTAATAAGAGGTGGAGCCAGGATTCCTGCTCCAATTTTACCTGTTATTTCCATCTTGCAGGTGAGAAAACGGAGGCTCAGAGAAGTTCACTCACCTTCAACCTCACATACAACCAGCCTGTGGCAAAACTAGGTTTCAGAGTGTGTCCATTGGCCTCAACCCACTGCCCTTTACCGTGCTTCCAGTACTAAGGAAGAGATGCATATTCCAATGCTTAGCTCCCTGTCAAACACACTGTGGTTGAGGTGATGGTGAAACAGCCTAGCAGAAGTCTGTGTGGTAGCTGGGAATGTGAAACGCGAGTCTGTTTGCTTCACTGACACCTGCCAAGCACGTAGAATGGTGCCTGGCATGTGGTAGGCACTCAGTGAATAATCATTGGAGGCAAGTGGCCAAATTGGAGATACCTGGGGAGTCGATCCAGTGGAAGTCATGGCTGGGAACATAGCTGAGGATCACAGACAGCCCCATGTGACTCTTGGAATTCTGTCCGGGAAGGAGCCACTTGGTCCTCTGTGGTCTGGGTTCCAAGAGGCTCAGTGGGTAGAATTGTGGGCTTTGTATATAGCAGATCCAAGTTCAGATTCCTGCCCTGCCAGCATACCAGCTACATGACCTTGGACGAGACCTTGAACCTTTCTTTTTCTTAGCTTTTTACCGAAGTATAACAGGCCTAGCAAAAGTGTACAAATCATAACTGTTGTATTTGTTAAGTGTTCACAAACTGAACCACACATGTAATCAACACCCAGATTAAGAAACAGTGTATGGGCAGCGCCCCAGAAGCTCTCCCACCCCACCTTGTTCCCCTTTCTGGTCACTGTTACCTCTCTAAGGTTAACCAAAATCCTGACTTCTAATACCAAAGATCACTTTTACCTATTTTTGAACATTTTGTGTGCTTATTACATGTGATTCATTCGTATTGCTGTGTGTGATTGAGGGTCATTCATTCTCATTGCTGTTTAGAATTCCATTGTGTGGATACACCATATTATTTTAATCCATTCTACTATTTATGGGCATTTGGGTAGGTCCAGCTTTTGGCTGGCATGAGAATTATTGCTGTAAACATTCTTATACATATCTTTTGGTGCGTGTCAAATCATAGACATTTCTGTTGGGGACACACCTAGAGATTGCCAGGGATGCATATGCTGAGTTCGGAAAACTTCCGAACAGTTTTCACGATGGTCATACGAGATTTCTAGTTGCTTTACATTTTTGCCAACACTTGATTTTTATATTTTTAAAATTTTAGCCATTCTGTGTAGTGATAGCATATTGTGGTTTTAATTTGCATTTCCCTGATGACTAATGAGCATGAGCACCCTTTCATGTGTTGATCAGCCGTTTGAACAACTTCTTTTATGAAATGCCTGCTTGAATCTTGTGTCCAAATTTGAATTCAGTTGTCTGACTTTTTCTTCCTGACTAATAGGAATTCTTTATATATTCTGGATACAAATCCTTTGTCAGATATTGCAAATACTGTCTCCTACTCTGAAGGTCACTTTTTCATTCTTTAAATGATATCTTTAGATGAATAGAAGTTCTTAATTGTGATATAGTGCAGTTTAGCAAATCGGTCTTTCATGATTAGCCCCTTTGTGTCTTATTTAAGAATTCTTTGTCTACTCCACAGTCGTGAAGTCATTCTATTTAAAAAAAAAAAGATTTTATTGGGGAATTGGGAGAGAGAACAGCGTTGGGGAAATGAAGAAGGGGAACAGACAAGTTGCTGTCCTTTTGTTCTTCAGTCTAGTTGTGGAGGACGTCGCTTCACTGGCCCATTTTTGTATTATTATTGCGCTCTTCCAGGCTGAGGCAGATTGGTCGCCGGCCACTGGGCAGCCGCTCACAGCGGCTCACGGCAGCTCACGCTGGCTGCCGGCCACTCACAGTAGCTTACAGCAGCCCCACTGCAGCTTATGCCATCATCTCATGGCAGCCCAGCTCCAGGTTGAGCCGTTGTTCACCATCTTAGCTGTAGAGGGTGCAGCGTCACTGGCCTATGTGGGAGCCGAACCGGCGGCCCTGCTGCTCAGAGCTCATCCTCCCAAGCCAACTCCCAACCAATGAGCCACTTGGCCAGCCCGTCTCCTATTTTTTTTTAATCCAAAACTTTTGCATTTAGAGCCGCAGTCCATCTGGAATTGAATGTGTGTTTGGTGGGAGGCGGCGATGCAGATACATTTTTTTCCTCATTTGTATATCCGGTGGACCCAGCATGTTTGTTGGAGAAGACCATCTTCCTGACGGGACTGCCGTGTTGCCTTTGTCATAAACCATGTGATCATATACATCATATTGGGTCTGTGTCTAGAGTCTCTTTTCTGTTCCATTGGTCAGCGTTTCTACCCTTGCACCCAAATCAAGCTGTCTGAAATACCACAGCTTTATCCTAAGTCTTGATATCAAGTCGTGTAAGTCCTCTAGCTTTGCTCTGTAAGATTGCCTAGGCTATTCTCAGCCCTTTGCATTTCCATATGAATTTTAGAATGAGTTTGTCAATTTCCACACACACAAACCTACTCGGATTTTTGACTGGGATTATGTTGAATCTACAGATTCATTTAGGGAGAATAAATCCTTTTCTAGTATTGAGTCTTCTAATCCATGAATATGGTATCTCTCTGTATTTCTTTTTCTCTTAAAATTTTTATTATGAAAAATTTCAAACATCCAGAAAATGGGAAGAATTAGTACAATGAATTCCTATACATTCACCATCTAGATTTGATTGTTGTTCCTAGAGTATTTTATTTGTGTCGTATATATGTATACATATATGTATAATTTTTATTAAATAATTTCATAGTTAATTATAGATATCATAGTCACTTCAACATGTATCTTCGAATCTAAGGACAACCTCTGATATCACCACAATTCCATTATCACATCTAGGAAAATTAATAGTTCCCAAATTTCTAATCTGTAGTCATTTTTCCCCAGTTGCCCTCCACATCTTTTGTTGTTGTGTTTGATTTTGTTTTTCAAATCTCAGATCATGCATTACTCGTTTATGTCTCCTAAATCTCTCTTAACTTAGAACCACCACTCCTCTCTTTTTGTAGGTGACTTTGACTTTTGCCAGAGATCAGGCCAGTGATCTTGTAAATGTCCCACATCCTGGAACCTGGAACTTGGATCTAGGTTTGAGTAGATGCAGATAAACCACACTAAGCTTTTTCAGGGTCCCCTTCTGTGATAGCCCTTCTCAGAGTTGTGTAAGGCCAGGGGTGTGTGAGCAGGTGTGTAAAGCTTTAGCACATAACAAGCTAAATGGTAGTAGCACTTAGTATTTATCCCTGCCTTAAGCCAGCATTTTAGCCCATTGTTTGTTCTCCAGAAAGTTTCCCTGAGGCTTCTCTTGTTCCAGCCAGGCAGCAGTGGCTTCTCCACCTCTGCTGGGGCTCCTGGCTCTGGGTTTGGACATTTCCCATCTTCCTCTCCTCCCACCCTCAGACAACACAGGCAGTTCCACGTACCGGCCACCCCCTCGAACCCGGGAGGTGATGATCAATGGGCAGATGGTGAAGTTGAAGTACTGCTTCACCTGCAAGATGTTTCGGCCGCCCCGGACCTCACACTGCAGTGTCTGTGACAACTGTGTGGGTAAGTGGGAGGCCGCATGGAGGGATCCAGGGAGCCCTGGGAGCGACAGAGCCCTGGAGACAGGGGAGTCACTCATGGGGAGGGGAGGTCTGAAACATCCAGGGCTGGGCAGATGTGCTCTGACTGAGGGGGAGTAACGGGGAGAAGCTCTTGGCTTCAGCCCAGGATCAGTGGATTCCTTCCCCCCAGCTCTGAAGTATCTGGTGGACACAGAGGTCCTTCTCCCTTCTCCCAGGGCTTAGCCTGGTCCTCAGTAGGTCCAAGGTCACAGGAACCAGAGACTGAAGGGGAATGATTTACAATCTAGTGGCCCAGGACCAGCCAAACCGAAAGACTTTGATCTATTGGGTTGTCAGAAAAGTCATGACGCATTTTTGCAACGAAAAACAGAAAAGATACGTCATGACTTTTCTGACAACCCAATAACTCCTAGGGTTTGGGAGGGACAAGAATCTGGGAACAGAGGAGTTTAAGCTGATGAGGTGGAGAGGATGCAGCCAGGATTGGAAGCTAAGCTCCTGACCCACAACTGCAGTGGTTGCTGGGGAACCAGAGGCTGTTTTATCCCCTCTCCCTGCTCTCCGAAGGTCAGGCAGCTCTGATGGGGACCAAGGGTGTGCCCCTGAGCAGGTTTCGTAAAGGAAATGCTATGTGAGAGGACACAGGTGAGCTGAGCCATGGTGACTATGCAGTCCCCAGGGCAGTGAGCTCATCACCCTGGCTCAGCGCTTGCTGAGCAAGAGAAAAGGGGGAAACACCCCATGACTGTAGGCAGTGAAGTGGGTGACTCAATGGGCATCATTCATCTATGAGATTCTGACCCACCCACCCCTTTCGAATGGTGCTGGCTTTGGCATGAGGCCTGCAACGGGCCTGTGACCCACATACCCACAGGGGACTTTCCTCACCAGTCTGGGTGTGACCCCCACCTCCAGGGACATGGCGCTTGTGTGAGATCAGCCCTCGGACCTGGCTTGTGCCCGTTCTCCACAAGTTACATAGTGGCCTGGTCCCTCCCTGGGCCTCTAGTTCTAGTGCAAGGGATGGGTCCTTGGTTGTTGGCATGTGGCTGGGGTCATAGGCCAGGCCACAAGTACTTTATGTGGATCTTTGTGCCAGGCACTGCTGGACCCTGGGATTCAGCTCAGTGTGAGGCCAACACAGGCTCCCTCGTGGAGCAGGGGTAGTCGGCCAGTCCACTAATTATAAATAAGTATGTAAACACCATAGGCAAAGTGCTGCAAAAGATAAGTGCCAGGGCAGCAGGGCAAGTAACAGGGCCCTTACTTTGTTTAGGGTCAGAGGACACTTTCTTAAGGAAGTGGCTTAGCAGCCGAGACATGAAGGAGGAAGAATTACCCTTCACCAGGTAAAGAGATGGGGAAGAAGGTGTGAGGCAATGGGAACCGGTTCACAAGGAACCAGAAGCAGGGAGTGTCTGAGGAACTGAGAGGCGGCTGATGGGGAGAGTGAGTGGGTGGGAAAGCCCGGGGCATCGTGTGAGGCCTCTGCACACCTGTGCTGTGTGTGCAGGTGGGCGCTAACCCGTCTCCCCTGGCCCTTTTCCAGAACGGTTTGACCATCACTGCCCCTGGGTGGGCAACTGTGTGGGGAGACGGAACTACCGCTTCTTCTATGCGTTTATTCTCTCCCTCTCATTCCTAACGACCTTCATCTTCGCCTGCGTGGTCACCCACCTGACGCTGCGTGAGTTGGCGGTGGGGGTGGGGCACACTGGGGGCGGGCCGCAAGCTCAGCCTGGCTGAGGGACTGTGATCACCGTCCCTCTTCGCTGTGACCTCTCTTGTTTCTTCCTCGCCAGGCTCTCAGGGAAGCAACTTCCTCTCCACTCTGAAGGAGACACCAGCGAGATATCCTTTGTCTGCTAGTGGGCACCCTGGTGGGAATTGAGGTCCCTTCACTGGGGTGGGGCCCCACACCTCGTTTTATATACAGAGGGGAATGGCGTAGAGCCGATGTTTGTCCTCTAGAATCCAGCGTACCAGCTGCTGCTGCACACCCCAGGGTAGAGCTGATCCTAAATGGGCTGTTGTGGAGATGGGGTGGCCGAGAACTCTCCAGAGCCACAGTCCCTGTCTGCCCTTAAGACACCAAGCTCCTGGACCATGTCATGTCTGAGGCTCTGGTGCTTGGAACCCTCAGTTCCCTCTGCTAGCCATCACCCGGGGCTCGTCGTCCTCTCGAAGGGAGCGCCCGAACCTACCCTAGGGCCCAGGAGGTGATCCTGCTGAGAAGTGGTGACTGGGCCACAGGAAGGTTCCAAACTTCTTTCCTTTCTGGGGAAGCAGCTCCGCTGAAGGATAGGTGAGAAAGGCTGGGCATGGCACGCTCCCAGGCGCGGGAGGCTCCCAGCCCCGATCCCTGTGTGGGTCCTTGACTGGCCTGCTCACTGTGCTGGAGTTGGTGATCTGCTTCTTCTCCATCTGGTCCATCCTGGGCCTCTCAGGGTTTCACACGTACCTCGTTGCCTCCAACCTGACAACTAACGAAGATGTGAGTAAGGCTGGAGCAACCCCTCATTCCTGGGCGGGACCCTCAGAGGGATGCAGGGCTGAGGGAGCGGGAGGGGCCCCAGTGCAGCCCCGACTCGCATACTGCTGGGGAAACATGGGAGGCGTCGGAAGGCCGCCAGACGTCTCAGTCCAGTGCTCACGGCTTGGCACTGGGAGACCCAAGGCAGGCTCCTGAGACCCCACATGCCTCGACCCCGCAGTGCAGGCTCCCAGGGCCCCCAAGTTGCTTTCTCTCTTACCCCACAGGAGCAGCACTCACACCATAGCAGTCAGTACATTTGGCCAGCACGCTGCCGTTTCCAGAGTTGTTTCAGTTCCCGTCATCTCTCTGGGTCCTTTTGCCAACTCTGAGGCAGAAGGAACCAGGATGCTTTTTCTCCATTTGATGGCTGAGTGACTCGCCCCAAGGTTACACAGCTGGGAAAGGACAGAGCCAGGGTTCCGCCCAGAAGCATGGCCATGCTAGCTGTGCCCCACTGCCCTTGTAGGCAGCAGAAACATGACTGTTCTCGGGGTGTCCCTGAGGCTTCCTTATTGAGGGGGACAGCAGGACAGGACTGTGAGGCTCCATCAACCCTCCCTACCTGCTGTCTTACAGACCCCCACCAAGCATTGTTTGAGCACTCACTGTGTGCCCAGCCCTGGGCCAGACCTGACCTAAAAAGGCAAATGAGAACATCTGTTTCAGGGCTGCCACCTGATACTAAGAGGCCCATTAACCAACAGAAAATACGGTCCTTGACTTCAGTCTCTCATTTGGGGAAACAAAATTTGACACGCATGACAGGGCTATCATGTGCTGGGTGTCTGGGACAGAGCAGAAGTGACACCAGCCAGCATCTCCCAAGGCAGTTTCCTGGGTGCTGACTCTGCAGGATATCACTAGGGGTTAAGCAAAAAGACTGGTATGGCCAAATAAATTTGGAAAACTCTGGGTTAAAGTCAAGCAGGCTTCCTTCACTGCTAAACTCCTTAGTGCCTTTGATAACTGGCTTCACAGAACTAGAAATGGGCAAGATTTTGTCTGGTGCTCCAACAATGCTATCAGAGAGTTGGTATCAGAGAGTTCCCAATTTTTCAAATGAGGATTGCGACTCAGAGAAGTGACGATCTTTCTGAGGTCATGCAGTGAGTCAGTGGCAGGGCCAGGGCTCACAGTCAGGTGGGCCTGAGCCCTCTGCCCTTGTCCTGCCCTCTATCTTAGGTGGCTGGCCGGAGAAGGGAGGATGCACCCAAAAAGTGTCTGTGGAGGCTTCTGTTTGGCTTTACTTTGTCTTCTGACCTGTTTGGGGCCTCCTCCTTTCTACTGGGTGCCCCCAACATTCAGAAATCCCCCCATTCTTACCGAATGGTTAAAGACATGTTCCCTCTAATAGTCTAGCCAGAATTGGTTTCAGAAATCGCCAGTTCCACCCCCACCACCTCTAGACCTCCCTCCTAGACATGCGAAATGAAAGAAGGTGCCTGACCCAGACCTTCTTCCTGCTTGCAGATCAAAGGCTCGTGGTCCAGCAAGAGGGGCGGTGAGGCCTCTGTCAATCCCTACAGCCATAAAAGCGTTATCACCAACTGCTGTGCTGTGCTCTGCGGCCCCCTACCTCCCAGGTGAGACAGAGGGTGACCCTGTGAGTCCACACCTCTCAAAGAGGTTCTAGAATCAGCAGACCTCTCCCCACACCACAGTCCTCTGTCCACCATCCCCCACTGAATGCAATCAGGGCATTTGTCACATAAAGAAGTTCTGTGGAGAGCTGTGATTTTTAATCCTGCTCGTAGAAAAAAAGTACAAAATATAAAAAAGCAGAGTATTAAATCTCACAGGTAATCTTACTCCCCAGGGATAACCTCAATGTTTTGGCCACACTTGAGCGACACAGCCCTTCTGGGCTGATGGCGAGACTGGGTGGGGCCTCTGTCCTCCCTCCTGGCAGAAGAGAGCCCTGTTGGCTCAGCCCTACTGAGATGTGCCCCATCCATCCTGACAGCAGGGGGCGCCAGAGCACCAGAAAGGAAGCTAAATTGCAATGAACACTGTAAGAACAAGATTTCCCTACAGTGTCTTCCCTCCTCCTGCCCAATGTGCTTGTCACCCATCCAGCCTGGGAGAAGGGACAGTAGGAATCACACTATCTCCAAATGCCTTTTCATCCTTGCTTTTCCCATTACCTGCAGCCTGGCTTCTTGGCAGCCAGACAGAAAGGTGGGCCTGTTTAAATTCACAGTGAATAAATCCTGTGGCCAAAAGCCAGGTGTCCAAAGTGCAAAGAGGGCCCTTCCAGAAGGGAGGAGTCTTAAGCCCCCAGTGGGAAGGCAGCTCCCCTTTCCTCAGCCTTTCTGGGCTGAGTCTTCCTTTGGCTAGGAGGTGGACTGTCATCCAGGCCGGGCCTGGTGCTCTGGAGTATGGTGGGGTCCTCATGTGTCCCCCCTGTGTTTTGGAAGCCTGATTGACCGGAGGGGATTTGTGCAGTCCGACACCGTGTTGCCCTCGCCCATCAGAACTGACGAGCCAGCCTGCGGAGCCAAGCCCGATGCCAGCATGGTAGGAGGCCACCCCTGAACTGGGCTCAGTACTTGCCACCTGCTGGCCTGTCCACCCCTCCGCACTCACCTGCCGCCCTCCAAACCTGCCGAGATCCTCCCCATTCCACCCAAGGGAAGCAGAGCCGCCAAAGACTCAAGTCTTTTCGTATTTATTTCCTACCCTGCGTGGCTTCCCCCACACTGTTCCATGGCTGTACCCTCTGCTCCCCAAACCCAAGTTCCCACGGCCTTGGGCTCAAGATCTCCCCAGCTGATCAGTGGCAGGAGTGACAGGATAGAGAGGCCAGGACCCCTGAGGCCATCCAGAGGACCACGCCAAGTCTCTGCCAGGGTGAGCCCTGTGGGAGTGAGGGTGCAGACTGAGGGCTGCACCTCCCAGTCAGGGGAGCTGCTGGACCCTGCTGAGCCAGGGTCCTGAGGTGAAGCAGGACTGAGGAGCAGTTGGCTTCAGACAGTGGGAGAGGATGCCTCCATGGATTGCTTTGGTTTGTGGGCTCCTTCATTCTTTTTGTGATGATCATTGTTTTTTCTTCAGTGTTTTGGTTTTTTTTGTATGGAGTTGGCCAATAGGATAGAGCAGGGGTTCCAGCTAGAGAAGGCAGAGTTGGGGCCGGGTTGAGGGCCACCTGTGTCAGAGGAAGCCAAACCAGCCAGGCAGGCACCCAAGACCTCAGCTCCTGCATGATTCCTGGGCAGCACACCAGGAACTGGGGGCCTTGCCTTCTCTCTGCCCGTGGAGGCTTCTCTGCGGAATCCCAGCCCGCCCCCCGCCCCCACCTCTCTCCCAAGTCAGGTCTGGGGGTGGGTAGGTTATACTCATGCTGGCAATACTTGAAACGGGTTTATTAATGCTGGGTATTTTGCACAATTTTATAGATCTTTTTCCTACATTTTTTTAAATGGAAGAAGAAAAAAAAAGTCAGCCACATTGCTATCTGTGTAGTGCCAGGTTAAGGGTTATCAGAAGGCAAGTTGGTTTGACTAAGTTTATTACAAAAGACCTTCTGCCTGTGAGTGAGTGAGAGCGAGAGAGAGTATGTGTGTGTGCACGCGCGCGCCCTTGTACAAATGTGGCTGGCTCCCACTTTCCCACATTCCCTGAGCTGCCTCCCTCCCTTCCATCCCCCTTGAGTGTCCGCCAGCAGCAGGAGCAGCCTGAGCCCGGGGGACAGGGAGCATGTGCGTTGATTACAAGACACCCCTGGGCTCCTGCTGTAGCTCAGCCCGCATCCTCTTGTCTTCCCTTCCGCTAGGGACTTCAGACAGCCAGTGGCTGGGGACTCAGCCCCCCACCCCCACCCCACCCCTGCCACCCAGCCCCCAGGTCGGGCTTCCAGGTGGGATCTGCCTAGACAGGCTGAGGCTGGGTGTGGTGGATGGGGTAATGGCGGTGGGGAGTGGCTGCCATGCTACAAGCCACACCCCCTTCTCCAAGCCCTGAGTCTGGGACCCAGTGCCAGGGGCCAGAGGAAGGGAGTCTCTGACAACTGGAGGCCTCTAGCCAGAGACAAGGAAGGAAGGAGCAGGGTAGGCCAAGAGACGAGTGAAGATTGGCCTAAACCTGGGCGAGAAACTCAGAAGATGTCCCTCCTCTGCTGGGAGCTATAGTTTCTTGTCAAAATAGATAGGAAATTGTGTCTCTGCCCCTCTCCTTGGCCCTTCAAGTGGGCTGAAGTCCTTAGAAAGTGACATAGGAAGTCCCCACATCTCGCCCTTCCTTGCTCCAGAGGCTAGTAGGTCATAATAGGCAGCTGAGAAGTGACAGCCACAGAGGGTCCCCTCTGGGAGAAACAGCTTCGCCCCAACCTCGGGGCCCTGGGCCCTGCTGCAGTGGCACTGGGAGGTGGGGAGGAAGCTGGCTAGAGGAGGGGACTGCCACCTGCCTTTTATTTAAGCCAGTATTCTTTGTTCCTGCTTGTAATAAAACTTTTGTTTTTAAGAGTTGATTTGCTTTGGTTTTTTGTTTGCTCTTCCTTTGCTGAGGCCCCAAATGGCAGCCATCTATTCTTTCAGCCAAACTTGGTCTCTCCTGGGGAGACAGAGAAGGCAGACAGCCCAGCGACACAGCTAAAGTTCTCTCCTGGCTGGAGTCTGTCTGCTGGAGGCGGAACAGAGTGGGCTGCAGCTAGGCCCCTGTAGGCGTGTGAGAAGAGGCCATCCTATCCCCTCCTCGTCCCCTCTACCTTCCCCTGCCTCAGGAACTTGGAGACCCTCAAGTCCTTCTTCCTTGCTCCCTTTCCACTGTGAGCCCCAGTGACTGCTCAGCTAAGAAAATGTTTATGAGACAGATTCCAGTTTGAGAGCTGGAGTTTCCCTGGCCCCCACCCACACCTGGGCAGCAGGGCCCCGCCAGACAACTCATAACACTGGCCCACCTCTCTGGTATCTCCTCCAGGAGGACACCTGTCAGGATTTTGCCATCTCCTGCACAGCCTGAGGGGAGCTAACAGGCCTCTTTGCAGAGGGTTAGCTGGTAAGACTGTATCTTCCCTGTCGGCCAGCACTGCCCGCTCCCCTCACACAGCATCTCATCCTCATCGCATGCCTCACCCACCATGGAGCCCATTCACTCATCTGTCTGGTGTGTGGTGTGGTGTGTGTGCTGGCGGTGGTACGGTCCCCAGGGCTCCCCCCTGAGCAGAAAAATGGGGGCATGGGGTCAGGGCGAAGAGCCCAGCCCCCCTCCGGACTGAGGAAGTAGCTTTGCGCAGAGCAGCTGTCCCACTGGAGCAGGAGGTGAAGGGCGAGGATGGGGAGGGTGGCGTACTGCTCCAGGTGCTTGGGCCTGTTCTGGTGATGTCCTGGTGTGCAGGGGCCCTTGGTCACTAACACTGTGTCCTGGCTTTCTGTCCCTGCTGAGCTTTCTCTCACCTGCCCGTTTTCTCTCCTGCTTCATTGCCTGCTGCCCGAGCCTTGGACCTTCTGTGGGGAAGAGGCAGGTGCTGTGGCAGCATCTGTCCCCACAGCATCCCTGAGGCCTCCTCTCTCCTGCCAACCCCGCTAACCCTCTCTCTTCTTCTTTGCTGTCCTGCCCGGGATCTCCAGTGTGTGCAGGGGCTTAAGGACCTCCTGAGGACCGCCGCTCTCTGCCTCTCCAGGAGTGGCCTGGGGGGAGCCAAGCACCCGGCACCTCCACCTGCCTAACCTGTGGCCCATCTGCCACCGTCTGTGCCTACAGGGTCTACCCCCAAGCCTGCCCCACTCGAGTGCTCTCTAGGGTCCCCCCAGAGGGGGCAGGGGCTGGCCTCTTTGCCCCCATCCCCACTCCATGCCGCCCAGAGTGTAGAAAAGCCATAATGCAGCTGTCAGCACATTGATGTAATAACTATGCTGAAATTCGCCCTCCCCTCCTTACTTCCCCTTCCCCAGATTTGTAAGGTGTCCAGACTCTTTAGGAATCTTGCCTTACAGCCTGCCCCCCCCCCCAAGCATGCAGCCATAGTCGAGCTGAGCAGGTTTCTTCAGGAGCCGTCTGGGGTGTTGATGGTTGATGACGCTGCTGAACAAGTTTGGCGACTGTTCTAAGCATCACTGGTTTGACACTGTTCCCACGGCCCCCTCCACCCCCACCCCTGGAGTAGGTAGGTTGCAAGGAGGATGCTTGTACCCTTTGCTCCAGGCACTGAGGGACTGAGCTAGCTCTGACAGCCCAGTGTTCAGAGGAACTACAGGAAACTGGGCTGGGCCTTGGAAATCTGCTGAGCCCATGGCTGGGGCTGCTTGTCTGCTGTCCTGTATCTTTTTTAACCAAAATAAAGATTTCCCTCTTCTTGCCATACCCTTGACTGTCTGGTGCCACCTTTACTTCGGGGTCCAGGGGATGGGGGCTGTGATGAACGTGCCGGAGAACATCTGGCTTACTTTCACTGCCAGCTTTTTTCCAGCTGGTCAGTTCTCTTCTAGAGATTTTAAAAAGAGGCACAACAAATTCAGATGTGACACAGAGTGACCAGTGACCTCTTCACTGCCCCTCCTGAACTCCTGGTCTCAGTTCCTGAGACCAGAGACCTTCAAGCCTTAGCCGACGTCTGAACTCTGCAAATTCCCAGCCCAGGCTGGGACAGAGGATTTAACGCCAGTATGGGACTGTCACACCCCTGAACTGAGTCTAGCTCAGTTCCTTCCCTCTCCCCAGGTTCTGCCCCACATCGAGATACAAACACAGGGTGCTAAGAGCTAAAAAATAACTAGAGCGGTCATTTAGCAAGGGCTTCCCAAGCTCCGGCCCTGTTTCCTCATCTAAACCTATGAGGAAGGTGGTCACCCATTTTACAGATGAGGAGACTGAGGCTCAAGGAAGGCACAGGAGTTGCCCACGATCTCCCAGCTGATAAAGCAGCAAATTCAGGATTTGAACTTGATCTCTGCCCTGATCTCTCACCCTTCTGTGCTACCCCAGGAATGAATACAGCTGCTTCAGGAGGAGGGGATCTTAGAGGGATAAACCCTAAAATTAGAGAATGTCTTTCATAGCCAGCAAGCAGCTTAGAGATGATCTATGTGGCCTCCTTGTACTGATGGGGCAACTGAGGCCAAGAGGCAGAAAGGGACCTGCCCAAGGCCTTAGAGCTGAAATGCAGTCCCACTCCCTGAATTCATTCCATTCTCTTTCCCAAAATTCCACACTATGTCCTAGATTGGACTGGTCTAGCAGATGTGGGATACTCTAAACAGCAGTGCCTTGAGGAGAAAAAGTCTCAGGGTAGCTGAGTCACTTAAAAGTAATCTAACATCCCCTCCCAAAGGCAACTAGTAGAGTGAACTCTTGGCTGGATAACTGAACTCCTGTTTACAACTAGCCAGGGGGAGAAGATGCCATAGCTTCCTCCAGTCACCTGTGTGGTTTGATCATTCCAAGACAGAACATTTCCTAGGAAGTTCTTCCTGAAATCTTAACCAGAGTCCCTCCTGCTGCAATCAGAGCCCTCTCCTCTGTTCTCAGTGGAGATAGATAGCAACTGATTGTTGCCTTCTCTGTGCCACAACCCTTCCAAGCCTGTTATTACCAGCTAAGAAGGATTGGTTGTCTATGGGACCAGAGGCCTTGAGCCTGGCTGGTAGGATGGATGCTATACAGAAGTGTGGGAGGTAGCAGGCAGGATGAGGAAAGCCCCTTTGGGCTGTAGCCCCAGCTCCTGTGCTGCTGACTTAGGCGGCTGACTGTGGAACTCTGTGCCCTGCTGGGGCCTGCCGCCTCCTGCCTGTCTGGGCTCCTAGACTTGGGAAATGGAGCCCTGGAGGCAAAGGGAGGTGCCTGAGACAGGAACTGAGTCAGGATCGACAGGCCAGAGCGGGCAAGAGACGTCAGGCAGCCTGGCTCCCAGATTCAGCAGGGGAGAGGGAGGAGCGAAGGGGCTTCTTTTCTCTTGCCCAGGGCTGTGCTGAGGGCATGGAGCTTGCGGTGTGAATCACCACACTGCCTCCCAGGTTTCTAGTGTTCTGGGATCTCCAGCTTTCCCCAGGACTTAGAAAGCCTGGGCGGGATGACTAGTACAAAGGAAGGTCCTTGAGAGCCCAGGTCCTGCATAGGCCAGAACAGGGGTCTGCAAACTTTTGAGACGGAAGAGCCGCCAGGCGTCAGCAAACTGTGGCTTGTGAACTGAGGCTCTGAAGTAAAATTGAAAATGAAAATAAAACTATCATAGTTTCATTTATAAAAATTTTAAAGGATATTATTTCATATAATGGTGATTATGTAAAAATATATGGCTCTCGAATAATTTTTAAATTGTTGTGAGGGACAGGATTGGCTCTTCCTGGGGTCGGCCAACTTTTGAGACGGAATGTTCCCAAAGAGCCGCACGTGGCTCGGAGCCGCAGTTTGCCGACCCCTGAGCCAGAGGAATGTCCAAGATGGAGACGGAGGAGGCAGTGCTGAGTGAGCACATCTGACCATTCAACCATCTTCTTTCCCCTGTGGACACCCAGCTGGGAAGGCCCGGTCTTCAATTGAGGCCTGGTGTGGGGCCCTCCCTCATTTCGTAGACCCCGACTCCATGTTTGTGCTGTGTGTGTATATGTTTATAATAATAAAATTGGTTGGATTTTTTAAAAACGATAATAATAGTTACCATCCACTCTACTAAGTGCTTTCCATCAACTCATTTAATCCTCACAACAAGCCCCATTTTACACTTAGGAAAACTGAGGCTCACAGAGGTTAAGTCATTTGGCCAAGGCCACAACAGCTTGTAAGAATTGAACCCAGGGCCAGCCGAGTGGCGCGATGGTTAAGAACTGGCTTGGGATGCCAGAGGGCCCTGGTTCGGATCCCACATATGAGGGCCAGTGACACTGCCCTCCACAGCTAAGATGCTGAACAACAGCTCAACCTGGAGCTGGGCTGCCGTGAGTCGCCGGCGGCGGCGTAGGCTGCAGTCCCTGTGGCAGTGGGTTGCCATGGGCTACCATGTGTAGCCGGCAGCCAGCGTGAGCGGCCAGCAGCCGCAGTGAGCAGCCATCCAGAGGCCGGCGACTGATCTGCCTCACCCTGGAAGAGTGCAATGATGGTGCCAGCTTGGGCCAGTGAAGCAACATCCTCCACAACTAGACTGAAGAACAAATAACAACAACTTGTCTGTTCCCCTTCCCCGATTCCCCAGCGCTGTTCCCCTCCCCCAATTCCCCAACAAAATCTTTACAAAAAAAAAAAAAGAATTGAACCCAGGTAGTCTGATTCCAAAGATACTTGGCTATTCTGTCTCTCAGAAAAATAATACACATTCATCACTGATAAAGAGAATAGGAAAAGGAAAGTCACTCACTCAGTCTCACTACCTAAAGATACCCTTTGTAAGCTGGAATTTTAGTGTATTTCCTTTCCATCATTTTCTGTGTTAGTGGTCTGATTTGAGCAAAGCCTTCAGGATAGCAAGCCTAAAATCCTTTCTGCTTCCTTGGAAAACCTGTAGCATCAGCCCAGACATGTCCCTACTTTTCCTTCTAAGAGGCAGATCTCATTTTTGGGCTTCAGCGTTCTGGCCTAAGCCTCCCTCCAGAAGGGGAGGGTGGGTGTGCAGACACCAAGAGGAACCTGGGGAGGGACAGGCCTGTGAAATGGTCCTGGCTCCAGAATTAAGCTGGCTGGATCCCAGTGAGGGGACCCCCACCCCTGAGCCCCATCTGAGCTTTAGCTTGGGGTGGGGCAGATAAGCAGGAACCCACTCTCATGGACGCAGTGCCAACACCTTTAGATGAAAGAAACTCTTGGCTGACACGAGGACAGTGCCCCAAAGAACAGGGACAGAAGGTTGGCAACAGAGAAGTCTCCCTCTCTGAGGCCCCTGTCAAGGGTCAGAGGCAAGGCCATGGTCAAAGGGAAGGAACCGGAAAACTTCTGAGAAGCAGGCTGTGGGAGGCAGTACTCAGCTGGGACTGCTGCCCTATAAAACAAAATGGTGTGTGTCACTGCCACCTCCTTTTTCTGGGTCCTGTTTCTCTCCCCAGTTGCTAGCATCCCCCCTGGGTAACCACACTGAGCTAAGCCTGCTTCCCGGCCTCTGGCAGAAGGTGGGCTGGGTCAGGCAGGAAAGTGGGACAGCCCGCTAGCCGGGCCCCCATCCTCTGTAAGTTCTACTGATACAGGATGGCAGGTGACTTGGAAGGGGCAGGTGACCTGGTGTGGAGAGCCAGAGGGTAAGTCCTCAAACAAGTCGCAACAGGCCACCAACTTGAAAGGGAAAATTGTGCTGCGATGGGAAATGTGTCCAACAAACCTACTGGGTGACTAATTACAAAGGCTGGGCTGGAGCGTCAGAGGCCGCTCGTTAAACACCTCATTAAGTGGCACCCTGAAAGCTGCCACCTGTGCATTCTGGGAGCTAAGAGAGGACAGGACCCTGAGGGGGAATGAGGACGGGGATAGAACCATTTTAGGTAGACTCCAGAAGAAGCTTGGATCTCACTTCTAAATACAGCCTGGAGCTCACAAGTTAGAAGCCTCAATGGGAGAGAAACCAAAGGAAGTAGGATGCAGGGGACTTAGTAGCTGTGTGACCTTCAGCAAATCTCAGCCCTCTCTGAGCCTTAGTATTCCTATCTCTAAAGTGGAGTAATAGTCACAGTCCTGCCCACCTCACAGAGACATACATAATAGGGATTAAATTAGATATGAAGGTGCTTGGGAAACTATACAGCCCTACCTAAACATGAATGATACCACCTGAACCAAGGGGAAAACATACTTGGCAGGATTGGGAACCCCATCCTCCTGCAACCTGGCTTTATGGGGTCTGCCCAGGCTGACGTGGCCAGGTGGCCAGGTGGTTGAAGCAATCCTTAGCCCCTGAAAGGACACCATGAAGGAAAATCTGATTTGAGAAACTGGGGCAGTTACCTAATGAGGACACTCATGTAATGGAAGCCCTGAGCAAGAGGGGGCAGCCTGGAGCCTGGAAAGATGCCTACACAGGTGGGGCCAACACCCAAATTTCTCCTGCTGACTGTTGGATGACTCATTCTACATCCCAGCCCTTTTACCTTTAAGGAAGAGCCGGAAAGGGTGTGGAGAGGAGAGGGAAGTAGGTCTAGGGCCTCAGTCCCACCCCCGGCCCCTCCCTCCCCACCCTGCTCTGGGCCAGGCCATCCAGCCAAAAGGCAGGCTGAGAGCTGCAGAGGCGCAGAGTCCAGCATTGGTCCCAAGGCAGCCAGTTAGCCCACCGCCTGTCTGTCTGTCCCCAGAGCCATGGAGAGAGCCAGTCTGATCCAGAAGGCCAAATTGGCTGAGCAGGCCGAACGCTATGAGGACATGGCAGCTTTCATGAAGAGTGCTGTGGAAAAGGGTGAGGAGCTATCCTGTGAAGAGCGAAACCTGCTGTCAGTGGCCTACAAGAATGTGGTGGGCGGCCAGAGGGCTGCCTGGAGGGTCCTGTCCAGTATCGAGCAGAAAAGCAATGAGGAGGGCTCGGAGGAGAAGGGACCGGAGGTGAGAGAGTACCGGGAGAAGGTGGAGACCGAGCTCCGGGGAGTGTGTGACACCGTGCTGGGCCTGCTGGACACCCACCTCATCAAGAAGGCTGGGGACGCTGAAAGCCAGGTCTTCTACCTGAAAATGAAGGGCGACTATTACCGTTACCTGGCCGAGGTGGCCACTGGTGATGACAAGAAGCGCATCATTGACTCAGCCCGGTCAGCCTACCAGGAAGCCATGGACATCAGCAAGAAGGAGATGCCGCCCACCAACCCCATCCGCCTGGGCCTGGCCCTGAACTTTTCCGTCTTCCACTACGAGATTGCCAACAGCCCTGAGGAGGCCATCTCACTGGCCAAGACCACCTTCGACGAGGCCATGGCTGACCTGCACACCCTGAGCGAGGACTCCTACAAAGACAGCACCCTCATCATGCAGCTGCTGCGAGACAACCTGACGCTGTGGACGGCCGACAACGCCGGGGAAGAGGGAGGCGAGGCGCCTGAGGAGCCCCAGAGCTGAGCCGCGCCTGCCGCCCTCCCTGCCCTGCCCTGCCCGCTCCAGTCCCCCACCCCTGGCAGAGAGGACTAGTATGGGGTGAGAAGCCCAACCCTTCTCCCCAAATGCTCTGCCCCACCCAGCTCAGAGAGGCTCCACAGAGGGACCAGCAGAGCTGAGACCACCTGGAGCCAGAGGACGCTCCTCTTCCTGCAGCTGTCGCGTGCTCCTACCACTGGTCATCCCACCTAGCCCTGCTCTCTGAACCCCCTCCTCGAGACTCTCCCTGTGAACCGGGCCACTTCTTACCCCCTCTTGATTCCCTCCTGCCCCCGCTGCCCCTGGATCTTAGGAATTGAGGAGTGTCCCACCCTTGTAGCTGAGAATTGTGAGAATTGGACCGTGTGGCAGAGGCTGGAGATGAGAGAGAAAGAGAGTGTGTGTGTGTGTGTGTGTGTGTGTGTGTGTGTGTGTGTGTGTGTGTGTGAACAAGACCCAGAATGAGAGGGAAAGCATGTCTGCTGGGTGTGACCATGTTTCTCTCAATAAAATTCCCCTGTGACACTCCTCCGGTCTTTTCCAGTTATTGGTGGAGGGCAGGGACTGGGATTGGTGTATGATTTACAGAAAGCCTGACTTTGAACCTCTGATTTGGAGCCGGTGACTCCAGGTGAGAGGTGGGGGTCCAGCTCTCTCCATCAGGGTGGTCCCCAACAAATTGGTTTGGTCCCAGGAGGGTCAGGTGAACCTAAAGGCCGCTGAAGAGCTCAGATCTGAGGGGACAGGGAACCAGTGAAGTCTCAGGTGTGAGTCTGAATACAGCGTCGCATAGAATATGCTGTAGTGAGCGGCACTGAGCACCACGGATTTGAAAGCGAGGAATAGTCAGTCCCATCAGGGAAATGCTCAGATCTGAGAGGCGGGAAGTACGATCTGGGGCCAGGGTATGACGCCGCCATTAAACGCCCAGCTCCGAGGAGAGGGAAACGCCCCCTAGCGTTCGCGGATGAGGACAAAATGAAACGGGATGACGGGGAGGAGACGCGAGCTGGGTGGGAGCGGAGGCCGGTGCTGGCCAGCGGAGCCTGCCTTCTGCGCTCCCCGCTGCAACACACGCCAGAGCCTACGGCCACCTCGCTCGCTCCCGCCTTAACAGCCAAGGCTGGAGGCGGGCCCGAGGCCCATTTCACCCAATCACGGGACAGGGTTCCTCAGGGTACCGCCCTCGGGGCCAGGCTGACCAATGGGATAATGAGCGGTGGACGCGCGCGGCGCGTCTTCCTGACGCCCGCCGGGCCCTGCGGGTGCGGCGACGCGCAGCGGGGCTGAGGGGCCCAGCCACCCGCCAAGCGCCGAGGGGCGGTGCTTTCCGGGTTTCACTTAGACAAGTTGCTACCCGCCCGGACCGAGAGTTCGGCATCAGAGCAGCGGGACGGGGCGGTGCGGAAAAAGCAGTCCCTTCCCTTTGAGTAATCTGCTTAACTTGTGGTGGCTGGCGGGCAGGACCGACTTGGAAAAGGCCACCAAGGCGTCCCCACAACCTATCAGAGTCCAGGCAGCCCTGAACTGGTGGCCAAGAGGCTTGGATTGTGTCCCTGACTTGGCTGTGTGACCTTGGGAAAGCTATTATACCTCCCTGGACCTCAGTTTCCCCTTCTGTATCAAAAGGGGTTTGAACTAAAGGCTCTTGATGGGGGAAAAAAACGTGAAGAATCTGGGTTCTCAAGTCAAACTGCCTGGGTTTGTCTCCCAGCCTGCCTTGGCCAAGGTTCTTAACCTTGCTTACTTTGTGTCCCCATTTGTAAAGGGATTAAAAAAATAGTACCTTCGTCTTTAGAGTTGCTGTGAAATTTGAGAAAAATAAATGCACTTAATAAATGCTACTGCCCATAGTACATGTTAGCTATTATTAATTCTACAATAGCACCAGTAGTCTAGGACAGGGGTCGACAAACTGCGGTTCACGAGCCACATGCGGCTCTTTGGGTACATGTGGCTCTGAAGTAAAATTGAAAATGAAAAAACTATCAGTTTCATTTATAAAATTTTTAAAGGATATTATTCACATAATGGTGATTTCATTTGTTTTATGGCTCTCGAATAATTATTTTAAATTGTTGTGAGGGACAGGATTGGCTCTTCCGTCTCAAAAGTTTGCCGACCCCTGTGCTAGGGACTACAAAATTATATGAAGTGGTCCCTGCCATCTCAAAGCTTATGATCAAGTTGAGGAAACAAGGTACNTTTAAAGGATATTATTCACATAATGGTGATTTCATTTGTTTTATGGCTCTCGAATAATTTTTAAATTGTTGTGAGGGACAGGATTGGCTCTTCCATCTCAAAAGTTTGCCGACCCCTGGTCTAGGATTTACCCAGCACTTCTGTGCCAAAAGCAGAATCATCAGTCAGGCCCAGTCCGAAGGAGCAGCTTTACTGCCAAAACTGACCTGCGTGCTCAGTGGGCCACCTGAGAATGCTGGCCTGACATCAAGTGGTCACTCCTCCACCTGGCCAGATTGGGGGGACTCAGTCCAGCCTCATCAGGTTCCCTAGAGTCCATGTTTGGTCACACCTATGAGACTCAAAACTGAAGGGCTCTTATAGAGCTAGTAATTCTAAAGAGGAAGTTGGCAAGACCACTCTGATGCCTCCTGGGTCTCCTGTTTTCTCCCCGCCTTTCCTGGAAGTGTGTTGGGTTTCAAGGTTCCAAACCAGGCAGAGACTCGGCTAGGGCAAGTGGCTCCCCCTCAGCTATGGAAGTGACCTGATTTCTCTTACCAGACAGGTCTGGTAACTTTCTCTTAATGGGGTAGGTCCTGGGAAAGGAACTTCTTTCTCTTCTCTCAGCCTCTGACTGCCTACTCCCTCTACACCACTCATAGTTGCCCTATATGGGAAAAGGAAGGAGCTACCTACCCTAAGGTAGTGTGTTGGTGTTGAAGAATTTCAAAAGCATATGCTGTGGATTGGAACATCATCAAATCCGGTAGCTCGATGTGGGCTGGCTTGGGCTCCAGCTTCTGACCATGAGGGTCTTAGACCTTTTTATCTTTGACATGTTTTTCTTAAATTGCTGTAAAGCTTTCTTACTGTTACCCAGTGTGGGGTTTCAGTAAGCATTTCTTGCCATCTTTTTCTGGCCTAGATTTGCCAATTTTTAAATTTCAGTGTTTCTTTTGGAGTGATGAAATGTTCTGGATTTAAATTGTATTGATATTTGCACAATTTTGTGACTATAACAATATTGAACTGTACACTTCAGAAAGATTAGTTTTATGGTATGTGGATTATATCTCAGTTTTAAAAAATCAGTCCCAGAGGGCAAAGCAGGTAAGAATGCCAAGTTCTGCTGGAAATTTCATGGCCATTCTCCCTTCCTATTGTCCTCGCCACCACTTGAGCACATTCTTTTAAACTTCTCCAAATTTCAAAGCCCGTTTTCAGGTCAAAACAAGACTAGTCACCTTTCCTCTCCCCTTAACACATATACAGAACTTTGGATATGTGCTGTCTATCCTACCAATGCTTTTCATTTTATAGGTATTTATTCAGTTATGATTTCATATCTACTTGGTTCTACCTCTGGGTTTGTAGCTATATCCTGGGTTTCTTTTTCTTTCTTTCTTTCTTTCAAGATTTTATTGGGTAATTGGGAAAGGGGAACAGCCAAGTTGTTGCCCTTCAATCTTAGTTGTAGAGGATGCAGCTAGCTCAGCTCCAAGTCCAGTCGCGCCGCTCAGCTCAAGGTGCTGTGTTCAATTAGTTGCGAGTGGGTTAGTTGCGGGCGGGCGTAGCCACCATCCCATGCAGGAATCGAACCGGCAGCCTTGTTGTTAAGAGCACATGCTCTATCCTCTGAGCCACCTGGTGGCAGCTCAGCTCAAGGTGCCGAGTTCAGTCTTTAGTTGCGGGCGGTTGTAGACCGCCATCTCTAACAGGCAACCTTGTTGTTAGGAGCACATGTTCTCACCAGCTGGGCCATCCTGCCACCTGTTGGCAGCTCAGTGGCAGCTCAGCTCGGGCACAGCTCAATGGCCCATGTGGGAATCGAACTGACATGACCCTGTTGCTCAGAGCTTGCACTCTTGAGCAAGCTCTTAACCAACTGAGCCACTCAGCTGGCCCTGACCTGGGTTTATTTCTTATCTCCCCAGAGAGCTTCTTAAAAACAGTAACTTTGTCCCATGCTTCTTCCTTTCTCCCCAGTGTCTCCTGCAAGGTTTTGTGTACAGGAAAGGTGCTCAGAACTTAGTTTGAAAACTACTCTTCCAAATGCCTGGAAGTCAGGTTTAGTGCCAGGTCCTCTGTGTAGAAATGGAGATACAGCTAGTTCTGACAGAAGGCCGGGCTGTCTAGACAGACTGGGTTTACAAAGATTCAGATAATCCCAGCCCTATCCTTTCCACACTGCCAGAGTGTCCCCCAGGAAACAGAGGCGGAGGGCTTGCAAAGATCTTCCTCTATCAAGAACTTGAGTGGTATGGGGGAAATCTGTAATCTAAAATTTTCTAGAGAAGATATCTACTCTTCTCTTATATGTAACTACTTCAGAGAGCAAAGTCTAGATTGGCTCCGTAGATCCACAGGGGTAGGTGATGGGGAGCAAAGCACTGGGGTCCAGTGCCTTCTCAGAACAAACCTGGCACCCTAGGGAGGCCATGGCGTTGGAGTCAGGCAGGCCACTGTGGCTTCTTCCAGAAAGGCAAGATACTCCTATACATACACACGTCCACTGTCCAAATGTCCAGTGCCTTTTCAGGAAAACCTGATTTCAGATGCTTGTACCAAGATTGTTCATCTAACCAACAGTGCCCCACTTCTTCCTAGAGAACAGAGTACCCTAACAACAGCAGCTGGCATGACTACGTGTGCCAGGCAGTTTCATACCTTAATCCTCATAGCAATATGTATTATCATCTTTGTTTTGCATATGGAGAGACCAAGGCTCAGAGTAGCAGCTAAATAACCTAATAACCAAGGTTATTCAACTACTTATGCGCTCGGGGAGTGGAATGGGTCAGACTCCAAGTCCCATGATTTTTAAACTCCAACAGCTGTTTTCAAACTACGTTCAGAGGGTTCGTCAGAAGCTGCCACAGCGCAGGAACTCAGTAGTCAGGGTTTCCCCTTTCCACACTCGTTAGCTAAAATAGCCACACGTGTGTGTGTTTTGTATATTGGCATTCCCTGAATTAAAAATAAGTTTAAAAAGAACCACATTATGCTATGCTGCCCCGCTCCTACCTTGAACTTTCTAAGAATCAAAATCTTACTCTACTCTCAATCTCAGGGCCCATCAGAAAGGAATCACTGTAAATGAGAAAAAACTGTAGTGGACCAATTTCCTGGTTTGTTCATCAAGTTAAAATTTCCTTAACCTGGTTACATCCTTTGTTCCTTTTCAATTCTTCACTCTGTTCACAGGGCCTACCCATCCCCTCATCCCTGCTGTGTGTGGGGGGTAAGGAAGGTAGGTTTCTGCAGGCTAGGTCCCCCCTCCTCTCAGAACCCTCCAGCCCCACCTACCCACTGAGTCAGGAGCCAGGAATGTCTGTGGGGGTAGCAGACAGGTATGTCACCCTGGGGGTGTCAGAGGCTGATTCATCTCTCATCTCCACCCAATCTTCTCCTTACTGCTCTCTGGGAAATTTAACTCTGTTTAGAGATACAAGAGGGAGATCCCAGACTCTGAATGCAGAGTCCTCAATTTGTGGCTAGGGACAGTACTTGATACATTAGATTATGGTATTTAATAAATATTTGTTGAAAGAGAAGGCGGGAGGAAGGAAGGAAGGAAGGAAGGAAGGAAGGAAGGAAGGAAGGAAGGAAGGAAGGAAGGAAGGAAAAAGGAAGGAGGAAGGAAGGAGGGAAGGAAGGAAGGGGCAGGCGGGCACATTTTCCCCACTTCCTTCCTCCAGAGTCTCCGGAATAAAGTTAACCTGTAATTTCCTTGTCTGACTGCAGAAGGGACTTATTTTTAACTCAGGATAGATTATGTGACCACTGTATGCTTTATGAGTTGGGAGAAATCTTACTCATGTCCCAATGTCCCTTCCATGCTGTTTCTATGATCCAGAGCAATGTGGAGGCTCCAGGATTTATAGGAAGAGGCCACCATCCAGTGTGAGGAGCTGTATTTGCACAGAAAGAACACTGTTTGAGATTTTATTTTTATTTGGGATGGCTTATTTATTTAATTATCATTGTTTTAAAAGATTTTTTATTGGGGAATTGAGGGATGGGAACAGCGGTGGGGAATTGGGGGAAGGGGAACAGACAAGTTGCTGTCCTTTTGTTCTTCAGTCTAGTTGTGGAGGACGTTGCTTCACTGGCCCAAGTTGGCACCATCACTGCTCTCTTCCCGGGCGAGGCAGATCAGTCGCTGGCTTCTGGACGGCCGCTCACTGCGGCTGCTGGCCGCTCATGCTGGCTGCTGGCTACACACGGTAGGCCCATGGCAACCCACTGCCGCAGCCTACGTACGCCATCGCCAACGACTCATGGCAGCCCAGCTCCAGGTTGAGCTGTTGTTCAACATGTTAGTTGTAGAGGGCAGTGTCACTGGCCCTCATATGTGGGATCCGAACTGGGGCCCTCTGGCATCCCAAGCCAGCTCTTAACCAACGCGCCACTCGGCCGGCCCTGGGATGGCTTTGATGGGACCTTTCATCTCCCTCTTCCGCAACTTCTTCAGCGTTCTGGATGGGGGAAAAAAATTAAAACTTTGCTATGTATTCTAGTCCAGAGTACTTTACCAATACTCATCTTTTTTTTCACCTTAATTGGGCTCCAAATCCCCATCCCATCCCCTCACAGCTCCTCAGTCTTAAGCCACCTGGGCTTCTGGGGCTGTCTGAAGTTGGCTACCTGGCTGGAAATAGAGGACACAAGGGTTGTAAATTAAGCTATGGCTTCCTTTGTCCTCAGCAGGCATGATGCCATGGAGATACATGCTACTTTGGGACTCTTCCTTCTAATAGGGACAGGAAGAGGAGGTGGGCATCCCAGACCAGGCTGGGTCAGGGCTCAATGGCCAGGAGCAAGACAAGAAAAAGGAAGGGACAGGAAGGGGGCTACTCAGCTTGCTAGAGACTTCCTCCAGGAGTCTGAGGCAGTTGGGCCTCCCTACTGCTTTCAAAAACAGGGTGGGCCTTGGTAATGCTGGGATACATCTAAAGTCAGTTCCCTCCTCTCGGGAGCCTTAAGAAAGAACAGAGAATCTCCAAGATTGACCTTTCCACAGACCCTAATGGAATCGGGCTTCCTATTCTCAGCCAACTGGGGTGAGCATTTTGCTAATTGAGAAACAGCTGAAAGCAGACTGGCTGTGCTTCACCTCTGTGGACCTTAAGGTGTCACCCCCTCTCCTAAGCCTCTTTGTCAGGGCTGGAAGCCTTCCCAATTATCTATGGTCTCTGACAAATTCCAAATGCCATCTTCCAATTGGTGGGTTCCCCAATTTAGAAATGCATCTACCCTAATGTCAGTGGTTAGCAGAAATAATCTAAAGGTCCCTTCTAAGGTACTCAGAGATGGTTTCCTCCCTCCCTCCAGAAGTTGTTCATAATTTGCTAAGTGAGGTCTGGAAGAGAGAGGAGCAACTTCAGTGTCTGTGAGATGTAAAGTGGCACTTTTCCAGAAGGCATTTTGGCAGTATGAATCCAGAACCTGGAAAATGTCAGCTATTGCATTTCTAGGATGTTAACCACAGCACTACTTACCATAGCAAAAGTTGGTAATGACTTATAGGCTCACCACGGGAGTCTGGATAGGTAAACAATGTTATAGTCATACCACAGAATAGTATCATGGAAACATTAAAAAGGTCTTTATATTTTTAATTACATGGAAATAGTGTTAGCTAAAAACAGCAGGTTACAAAGCAATTACAACATCCCACTTACATAAACACTGTAACTATCCCTGTGCATGTATAGAAAAAGAAAATATACAAAATATATATTTGAATAGAAAATTTATTGTAGATTGTAAATATTTTTATTTCTGTATTATGGGATTATGGGTTTAATTTTCATTTTCCAAGGTTTTTACTTGTCTATTTTTATCAGGAAATTTAAAAAAAAATCTTAAGGATAGTTGCCATATGCCAGCCATACTGGAGGATGGTCATTCTACCTTGCACACTTCATGCAGAACAGACCTGGAACCCAGATGTCTCTTTTCTGCATTGTGCTGTCCCCTCCCCAACATGATAATCATTCTGCTACCGTGGGAGGTGGACAGAGCTACATTTACTGGAGGAGAAACACCCTTGCTGTCACACTAAGACCTGAAAATAAAGTTTTGGATTATTTCCATCCTTCTCCACTCCATGACTGCAGAGAATAAATGCTGAGGGTGCTTGCATGAGCCCATAAAGTTCTAAATGGCACCTTCCTTCCAACTGGTTTGCTTTGCTGAGAGCCACGGCCTCTGTGATGAGGTAAGCTTCAAAACTTATGACCACAGCTATTGGTACTATTTTCAAAAACTCAGCATCCACCCACCCGCCCTGATGAGGGATTTGTCCAATAGCCTGGGCGTCAGATTCCTGGGCTCTAGGCCTCATAGGTGATTCACAACCAGCCCCAGGCTGTGCCTCCTGGCCTCAGTTTCCCTGGCTTGCTCTGTTGATACTCCCCTCCTACTTTGCAGGGTGTTAATAGGTGTGAGGTGCTTTGAACTCCTCAGATGAAAGAGGCTGGAGAAGCAGCACCTGATTATTATCCCCTACAAGGCCAGGCGTGGGAGCAGAGACTGGCTGCTCTCATACTGTTCCAGCCATAGGAGTCTCCTCATCGCCCCTCACTTTGCTGCCGATACTGGAAAGCTCAGTCATCTTCATCTCAATGCCACTTCACAATCGATTTTCCTAAACTGAATTATCCAACTGTTCAAACCACCAGTGACTTATCTTCCCCTTGCTTTATGATTCAGTAATACTCTTCAGGTGTCTAAATTCTTCCTTCCGATTGGCTACAAATCCTGTGGGATACTGGATGTGCCTTTCACCATTAAGTATTCACAATTAAGAAGTCAGTGAAGTGGACTATGAGAGCCATGCTGACCGAAGTTCAAACTCACCTTTCTGTTTTCTCACTGAAAAGTGGGGCTTAGTAATAGTCCCATCTTGTCTGTATCTCTAGGAGTTGCTGTATGGACCACATGAAGACCACGTGTGTGAAAGCACTTTGGAAAACACCAAGCCCTTCCATGCGTTAACAGGACAACTGTGAACTGTTCCCTAGTGCCTCCAAGTTACAACTGCAAAATTAATAAGCCTGGGTTGCCACCTATTGGTTGAAAATATGAATTGCATCCAACCAGTTGCAAGAGTAAAGGAAGCAAACACCAGTATTTCCAACTTCAAACCATCTTAATTTTTGCCATGCCCCTACATGCTATTATATACTTAATATTTACTTTTCTTTAAACAACTCATTTTGTATAAATAACTTCATTTTTAAAGCAAACTTTTAATCACTACTATAAATGGAAAACTAGTTAGCATTTGCCAAAAATAGAATAAAACCGTGAAATAAATACAATGAAAATAAAATGTTAACATCTAACTAAGAAGTGTTGCCTGTGAAAGCTCAAGCTTAAGGATCACTGTTAAACCTGAAGATTAACACAAGCATATGATTGGAGAATGAGTGTCAATCCTCCAGTATGATCCTTTGCTTTGGGGGAAACACTGCCCTATATGAAGAAACAGAACTCTTTGGAGGGAAGGTGACATGCCCTTGTGTTCTACCCCAACTCCTTGGATGGTTGAAGAAAGTTTGAAAGCCACAAAAAGCGGAAAATAAACTCTTGTATTTGTAGCACATTCCACCATAGTCTGAGTGGGGTCAGTGCTGAATTCCCAGTGGTGGTGCCCAGAGCTCACTGTGCTGGGTGCTCTGCTTGGCACCATGTCTGGTTTTTGGCCAGGAGTCCTTTGCAGGCTGGGTGTCCCCTCACCAGCCTCCCAGCTTGAGCTGGAAGGACTGTTCTTGGATCTGCAGCCTGCTGAGCTGTCCACTGCTCACCCGGAGGCGCAGCTTTCCCCAGTGCTGGGTTGTAGGTCGTCTTCTTCAGAGCCCAGGTTTTTGCTACAGCTGCATAGCTTCCTGCTCCACTGACTGGTCTGAGGGTGCCAGGTACTTCTCCTGGATGCCCAGGGTGCTGAGGGAGAGTGCATCAAGGATGAAAGCACAAGCAAGCATGGGGAACTGGTGTGGGCAGGATCTGTCCTCTACTGATGCCTGCCCTCCAACCATGTCTGGCAGGTTCCTTCCAGCCCTCTCCCTTCCTTGTAATTATAGCTTCAGGCAACAGGGACCAACTGGGTCTGAGAAGCCCCTCAAAAAACCCAGACCCATATGCTCCTCTATTCACCTCCCCACATTGCTGTGACTCAAAGGACCAGACTGGCTCTGTGTTATGTATGACACATGCTCAGAGCCAGACCATGGTCGTTTAAATCCTGGTTTTGCCACTTCTTTTTTCTCATCTGTAAAACAGAGTTGTTATGAGGACCAAATGAGGCAATAAATAAAAGTGCCTAGCATGGCACCTAGCACATAGTAGGTGCTTAAGAAATGTTTGTGATGTCTCTTTTTCTGCCAAGGGAGGGAACTCACAGGAGCTCAAAGAAAACAACACATTTCTGCTTGGGCCACAGGGTGCCTTCTACCTCTCTCTGGGACAGCAGTAAGGACACAAATCAGGTTTACAAAGGGAAAGACCATGACGCTGCTGATGGAACCCTGTGAGGCTGGCTGACTGAGGTATGGGTCTGGGGTCTGACTAGGAGATGGGGGTTGACTGTGGCTAGGCTGGCCACCATGACTGCTCTACTAAATGACTCTAGTGTCAGTCATTGAGATTCTACAACCCGTGAGATTGAGGTTTCAACTGTTCTTCCAACACATGCTGAGTGAGGAAACTTGGACCTGTCCCTCTGTGCCCCGAGCGCCTCCCCTATAAGAGGACTGAATGAGGATTACATGACATCCTGCAAATGTTCAGGTTGCAGACTATTCTTTACCATCTCATGGATCCATCCATCAAAATCCAACTCAGCCCCACACAAGCTGACTCCGAACCTGTGCCCTTAACTTTTCCTCAGGAGGTTCACTCAGGATCAGTGGAATCCATCTTGCTTGACTTGGAATAATCTCAAACTGGCCTTGTCTGGCCTGAAGCCCACATTCCTGAGCAGGGCACACGAAACCCTGCATTCTCTCTGCCCATCTGTCTAGCTCTATCACTGGTCTGCAGCCAGAAGCCCTGTCCTGCCCACAAGTCATGCTATTCTACCTGCAACGCCCCAGACATGTCTCAACCTTGAACTCCTATATCCTGTTCTTTGTATGTCCTGTTCTCTTTGCCTTGAACTTCCTTTCCCTCTTAATCAGCCTGGGTAACCCTCACTTTGAGATGATTCAACTCAAGTGCCACGACGTCCATGACGCTTTCTTTACCCACTCACTCCTCAGCAGAGCTGACATTTCCTTTTTTTGTATGAATCCCTAATTATCTTATATACAGAGTGAAGCTGAACCTTAAGGAGGTTAGGGTGGGGGGCACATCTAAAATCCGCACAAATGTGTATGGTTAAAATACCCTTAACATTCCTTAAATCACTTATGAAACACATAAAACACTTGGTTTTATGAATAGAATTCTATATGATAATATGTATGAATGCATAAAGTAATGTACGGTGTGCAAACTATCACAGCACTATTGAAAGTTCCCCTCCCCTTTTTTGCTGAGCACATGCAGTTGAACTTGCCAACATAAACTGCATGTGTGAGGCAGCTCCTCAGGCCCTTCTCCAGGCACTGCACACTCTGCTGCCATCGTTTGTAACTCGTGTTTCCCTGTGAGCTGTTTCCCACATGTGAAAGGGCCTGACCCATTTCAGTAAGTGTTGGTGGAAACTATTTTCCTCCCTACACAAGGACTCTGGAGACCCCCTTGTCTCCAGCATCCTGTGTAGATGCCCAACCTGAAACCAGCCTAGAGGGCCGAGACTTTCCTATCCTGCCTCACATGTGGCCTCTGTGACCTGAGAGACATTCACATGTGACCTTAGCTCCATCCCCACTGGTCCAATTCTGAAGGTCTAGCTGCCTCCCAGACAGCTCTGATTGTCCCAGGGCCCCCTCAAACATGGCATGTCTACCAGCTCCTAACCACGTGACAAACCTTCCTCTATTTTCTTGCCTCCGCGACTAGCACAACCACCTATACCGCTGTCTAAGCTAGAAACTGGGAGCCTAAATTCTGCTCCACCTCCATCTAGCCTATAAACATCTAGTCACCAACTCTGGTTCTATCTCCTTAATATTTTCCCAGTCCACACCCTTCTTTCTATTCCCACTACTACTGTTTCATCTCTTCTCACTGAGAGACTGTAAGAACTCCCCTGCCCCCACCAGATCCCTTAAATGCATTTTCCACTCTGTACATCACATCACATCACACCCTGCTCTACAGTACTACACTGGATCCCAATGCTCACCCATGAGCTGAAGTCCACACTCCCTAGCAGGGCACTCAAGGCCTCCATCACCAGCCCTGCCTACCTTCCCTGAACCTCCCTTTCCCCTTCTCACTCAAGACACCAGGCAAACGGAATCTCTTGCATCTCTCCCAAATGACCAATGACCTTTCATTCCTGGGCCTCTGTATTTGTTGCTCCTTCTGATCAATATCTCCCCCTAGTCATTGGGTACCACCAACTCTGAAGCCTTCTAAGGGACTAGCCTTTGCACATGAGACAGTCACCAGGGAGTCCACCTGGTCAGTATGAAGTCAGTCATTTACAAGGGTAGATGTGGCCATTCCTGAACCCCGTCTCCCCCTCTTGGCTGTGGCTGAGAGGCTAGAGAGCAAGGATACGAGGAGAAATGGAAGTCAGCTCCCATTGCAGCAGACATCATGGCCTCCAGGCTTCGCTGCTCTTGGACCCCGAAGCAGTAGCCATTGGCTTTATCCACAGCCTGCAGGACCCGCTGGATACTCTCCTTGTCCTGGGTGTGGAGGAGAGAAGCAGCTCTGTGAGTGAAACAGGTGTATGGAATTGAGTTGGCAGTCTCCAAACACCCCCACTCAATCTTGCCTCATGAAGCCTTTGTACATGCAGCTTCCTGAGCCTGGAGTATTGGGTTGTTGGAAAAGTCATGACGTATTTTTCTGTTTTTCGTTGCAAAAATGCATCATGACTTTTCCGACAACCCATTAGTCCTACATGTTCCCAGAGGCCTAGCTACATCCCATCTTTCCTCCCCGCTAACCCACCTAAATTAGAACAGACCCTAATAATAAGCTCCTCTATGCACACCCACAGTCCCCTGGGTTTATCTGTATTGTAGCTCTGATCCTACCATCTTACTAACTATTCATAAGTTATTAACTCATCTGCCTCCCCTACTTGACTGTGCATCCCTTGAGGTGAGGGCCTCATTTGTCGAGGTATCCCCAGTGCCTGGCACAGTACTTAGCTAACAGTAGGAACCCAATAAATATGCATCTAACCTATTTGCTCATCCACAGAAAAGTAGTAAGAACAGTTCATACATCACATTATGGGAAGAAGAGATCAAAATAATGCATTACAGTCCTTAACACAATGCCTACCAGAGAGAGCCTTCAATAAGCGGTATTTGTTTTGATTACTGTTACAGGGTTCACACCTTCTCATTTTAGAGGAGAAGAGCGTCATTAAAAAGGGAAGAGACCAGTTCACTCAAGCCCACCTATGCAGAAAGGAATCTAACAGGCACTGGTGTCTCCCCGGTTATCTTTGCCAGGTGCCAGGTAAGAGGCACAGGGGCTGGGTACTACTTTGCAAAGTCAACCATTAGTTGCCCATCTTGAAGAAGCCTGAGAGACTCGTCCTTAGTCTTGGTCAAGTCCCTTGCTGGTGACTTTCTGAGCTCATCCATTTTCACACTGAGGAGGGAACATGTGTAGAGAGGACCCAGCAACACAGAATAGATAGGGCCAAAGTTTGGTCCACTCTCTTTAATGGAATCCTGCCCACCAGAGCCCCTGGTCCCAAAACCAAAGGAAATGAATGATAGTTGGACCTAGGACAAAGACCACTGTTTGAGTCCTCAAAGCCGCCTGTACCCGTGGCTTGGTGAGGTCCCAGGCACTGTCAGAGCCTACAGCCAAGGCCTCTTAGTCCCCCGTACCTGGATATTGAGAGGAATGAAGGAGACCAGGCTGTAGTCTTCAATGAGCTGCACCAGTTTCTCATTGAGCTGACGGTAGTGACGGAAGAAAGGGTCAGACGCCAGGTGGTCGAGCAAGTAAGAGAGGTCCAGGACCTCTGTGTAGTAGTCCAGGTTGAAGGCTAAGGAGAGAAACCAGTGTTTGAAGTAGCTGGCATCAGGCTAAAGCCCTGAGGACAGGAACCATATTTTCTTTCTTTCTTCCTCTGCCTTCATTCATTCCCTCCCTCACTCATTTATTCATTCAACAATGGCACTGAAATGAAGTTACTAAGAAAATACTTGGGGGCCAGCCAAGTGGCTCAGTTGGTTAAAGTTGGCTTAAGAGCGCGAGCTCTGAGCAACAGGGCCCCCGGTTCGATTCCCACATGGGCCAGTGACGCTGTGCCCAAGCTGAGCTGTCGCTGAGCTGCCAACAGGTGAGAAAATGGCTCAGCTGGTGTAACAAGATTGCCTGTTCAATGGTGAGCTATGCCCACCCGCAACTAAGACTGAATTCAGCACCTTGAGCTGAGCTGCCGCCAGATGGCTCAGTGGATAGAGCATGCGCTCTTAACAACAAGGCTGCTGGTTCGACTCCCGCATGGGACGATCGCTACGCCCACCCGCTACTAAGACTGAACACTGCACCTTGAGCTTAGAGGCCACGAGCTGCCGATGGGAAGTCAGATGGCAACTGGCACCCTCCACAACGAAGATTGAAGAACAACAATTTGGCTGGTCCCTTCCCCAATTCCCCAACACTGTTCCTCTCCCCCAATTCCCCAATAAAATCTTAAAAAAAAAAAAGAAAATACTTGGTTTCACTGGCTGGCTCTGTCATTTACTAGCTATATGGGCAGGTACCCACCTCATGAAGCTGCTATGAGGATTAAATGCTATAAACTCTAGCGCCTGATACAGAGAAGTGCTTGATCAATGGTAGTAAATAACGATATTGAACATGTACCAGTTACAGTGCTTGGTCCCTCTTTCATGAAGCTGAGTCAGGTAGCATGCCTAGGACCCAGCACATACACTGTACAGACTCTAGCAGGGTGGCCTCTGGGTAAATCACTTTCCCTTTCTGAGCTAGTTCCTTCTTAACGTAAAATGAGATCAGACTGGATGACTTGATGGTCCCTGACTCAGTTCTATGAATACAAACTTCCCACTAAGAGAAGGAAAGTGGGCCTCCCTGCACTGTCCATTTCAGCCTGGAAAACTTAAGCAGTTGGGATTACTCAGCAGGTCTGTCCCAGAGTGAGCCGAGGGAATCAGGCTGTCAGAGATCAATCAACTCATTCCCTGCACTCTGCCTCCCACATTCTAATCAGCTCTAATTAGAAACTAACACCCCTGGGCCTACAAGGAAGAATATCCTGGACATTCCAACAAACTTCTTGGGTTGCTTGGCAGATATGGTTCTCAATGAAAAATTAAGAAACTGGAGCCAGGTATACCTGAGATTAGATTTCATCTCAGCTAACATACTAGCTGTGTGACCGACTTTGGGCTATTCATGCAAAGTCTCTGGGCCTCAATGGCCTCATCTGGTTTGCACGTCAGTGAGGATGACTGTCAAGAATAAGAGCTACAAAGGTCGAAGACCATCATGGCTGGAGGCTGTGAAGAGGGAGAGGGGGGCTTGGGAGGACTTTAAATCTAGGCATTGGTAAAATGGGGCTTCTGGGCTTGCCAATAGAGGGACCCGGACTCTGGGCTGAGGTGGCCCCTCCCAGGTGCTGACATCCCTCCATGACCTCACTGGTAGTCAGTCAGCCTCACTGGACAAGGGCCCTACACTTCAATCTCCCAACAACCTCCCTTCCTGCTTGCTGCTAGTCACTTCAGCTGTTCTTCTCTAGGTTCTTTGTGGCCAGAGGTGCTATTTAGGGAACTGATGCCCCCAACTCAGGAAAGCACTAATTTTTCAGGAAATAAATGCTGGCCATAGGGTTCTTATGCAACTTCCCTGCCTCATACCAGCCTGCTTCTCCAACCTTCCTCCCCACCTAGACAAATGGCACCCTTATTTGTCCACTGTTTCAGTCAGAAACCTGAGCGTCATCCTTAACTCCTGTCTCCATAGCTAATTTACAAACAAATCCTATTTCTTGAGCAAGTTTTGAATCTATTTCTCTCCATTCCCACTACCAATGCTTGCACTGCTGCAAAAATCTCCTAAAGGAGCTGTTTTCATTCTTGCCCCTTTCAATTCATTCTCCACAAAGCTGCCCAAATGACCTTTTCAGTTCATGCTATTCCCTTGCTTAACATTCATCAATGGCTTTCCTCTGTGTTTAAACAGTACAGGTTCTGAAGCCCACCTCCTTGACTTCATTTCCCACTGCTTTCCCTGACCACTATCCTGGCTACCCTGCACCCTCATTCCCACCCCCTTTGAACACACAAAATAGCTCTTTCCTGCCTGAGGGCCTTTACCCCTACTGGTCCCTCTGCATAGAACAGTTCTCCCTTAGATGGCTCCTCACCATTCTGGTCTCAGCTCAGGTGGCACTGCTCACTCCCTCTCACTCACTGTCACATCATTGTTTTAATTCCCTCATGATATATATTACCATCTGTAGCGCCCTTGTCCCCAAAACCCTGGCACAAAATAAATGGTCAGAGCTCAGACTGTGGGTATGATCACCAGGTCATGCATGGTCCACGGAGGCAGCCTCTTTCAGCTGAGATCTCTGCTTCACTTTGGCCCAGCCAGTGCCTTACACCTTGCCTGCCCAGACAGGAGATCTTACCCAGCTTCCCATAGTGCTCAATGAGGTCCATCTTGGAGAGGAGGTTGACGTGGGGCAGCTCTACGTGCAGCATGGTGGCCAGGGAGGTACACAGTACTGAAATGAACTTGGCCGGGTCTGTGCAATAGTGAGAATCCACCAGGTGGACAGCAGTCAGCTGGGAGGGAAGAGAAAGGATGAGAATGGCCTGGGGAGGCAGGGAACATCAGGGCTATGTCTCCCTCATCAGATTGCGGTCTCCGGAGGACAGAGTGCAAGCCTTTCCCATTAGACTCCTTCTGTTTCATTTCTTTTTTTTTTTTTTTTTTTTAGCTGAGCCATCCTGCCACCTGTTGGCAGCTCAGCGGCTGCTCAGCTCCGGCTGGACTTGAACCTCTGTTGCTCAGAGCTCAAACTCTTGAGCGAGCTCTTAACCAACTGAGCCACTCAGCAGGCTCTCCTTCTGTTTCATTTTAATAGCCACACTCATTTCCTTCTCCCAATAGATACGGGCATTTTCTTACAAGATGCTTTGCACTGAGCCTCTCTCAGTGGGTAACTGGTCAATTCCCACTGCATCTGACTCTATTCTTTCACTAACTTTGCTCTCCAATTCACAACCACCACCACCATGCCACTTTCCACATAACTTCTTCCATACTTTTAATAAACTTAAGTTGGGCACTAACACACCTATTTTGTAGATAAGAAAATTAAGGTTCTGAGAGATAAACTGACTTACTCAGGACCACACAGCAAGTCAGTGGCAGAGCCAGAATTCAAAATCACACCTGTTACACTCCAAAGCAACTCGGCCCCTACTTCATTGTGTGACATACAGGCATGGCATGTCCTCCCTGTCTTAGTTCCACCATCTGCAAAATAAGCCTGCCCGACCCAAGACGCACCCGGAGGTCCCACTGTGCCATCTGGGAGAAGATGCTACGCAGGGCACCGTGGTGTGTGCAGAGCTCCACTTGGCCTGGGCAGTCGAAGATAAAGTAATGGCCGCGGAGGGGGTCAAGCTTGGCACGCAGCCAGTCTAGGTTGGCTTCCAGGTACTCCATGCAGTAGAGCAGGCCGCCGTTGGGTCCTAGCCGCAGGGCGTCCATCACGTCGCTCAGCCCCACCAGCTCGCCCACGTCCACGGCGCATTCATAGGGCAGCCCCTCATTGGCCGGGTCCAGGTTCACCACCGCCACGCGACGGCCCAGCGCGCGCAAGAACTCACTCATGCCCAGGCAGTACGTGGTCTTCCCCGAGCCGGGCGGGCCGATCACCGCCTGCCCAAAGGCCGTGATCGGAGCAGCCCCCGCCATAGGCGACACGCGGCCCCGTGTGCAGCAGGTAAACTCTGCGGGCGGCCGCGCTTGAGACGAGCTAAGAGCGACAGGATTCCCGACGTGCACTTCGCGGGGAGCCGGTGGTAACGGCCCGGAGTCGCCTAAGGAGGAACTGCAGGAAGCCGAGCAATGCAAGGGGAGGAACCGGCCCGGTATTGACCGGTCCAGCACCGACTTCCGGACGACGTCGGAAATTGCTGTCCCGGAGGAAGTCCCGCCCTCGCGGTGACGACACAGCTTAGCGCCGAGGGGCGTGCGGGCTCGCCCCATTTCACCCCGTGAGGAATGGCTCGGGGTGTGAGGCGGCCGTGGGGAGTCTTTCTCGGAATTTACCAGACTTCCCGCCAGGCCCACATTTGAAGAAAAAGAGAAATACGTTCATAAACTTATTTATTCTTCCATTCGGTCTCAGACCGAGGCCACCTCCCGCGGATTCTCCGCTGTCTGGTTCCAGCCAGTAAGGGGTAGAGGCATTGGAGGGCCAGCTCCAAGGCCATCTCTTCTGAGCACCACAAATCCTCCCCTTCCCGGTCCCTTTCCCTCTTTTTGGTCTTCATGGTGACCTCCCCAAGGAAGGTTGTGTTGATAACCTCAGTCAATCCAGCTTTTCAGGGTACTGGGGGAGGCAAGAGGGGCAAGCCCAAACAGGGACCAGGGTTAGGACACCAAGGAGGAGACGTCATTAAGCCCTAATATCAAGTGGGAGGGTAGGGGGCTTTTTGTAAAAATGCCCTTGAGGTAGAGTGCCAAAAAGCAAGTTCAGAACAAAGCACCCTAAACAAGCCACACAGATTGCTGCTCCCAGACTTCTTCCTGCTTCGGTCGGGCATAAGGCCAGGGCAGAGGGCTGCCACTGTGCAATTAATGAGTGATCTTGGCTAAGGAAGCCCCCAAACCTGTCACTCAGGCTCTGAGGAGCTGCCCAAAGCATAACCGGAACCCCTCACAAAGGTCATGTCTGTCCGAAACTTCATGCTCGTGGGTGGCTGTCTGCGGAGCAGCGACTCCCCCTGGTCCTGGGGTAGAGGCTCATCATAAATGGTGGAGATGAGACCCAAACCGGTTCCACGGGGCCTCTTCAGTTGCCCAAAGGGCTGTAGCTTCTCTCCGTGGTACCTGGATTAAAAAGAGCTCTCAGTGAGATGGCTGCTCCTTCTCAAACCCAGTAAAAGGGGTTGGGAAAGGACGGGCGTAGCTACTACATATCTAGTTTGTCCCAAAGACAGCCTTGAAATCAGGATCTTTGATCTCCAGCACCCTTATATGTCCATCAACAGTGCCAGCAACCAGGGGCCTCACAGACTGCTTTCATTTTAAATAGTACACCAATTTTAGAACTGTCATCACTGTGACTTACAGGCACTAATTAATGGCAATCAATCATAAAGTCCAGACTCCTCAGACTAGAAGGAATGACCCCCCAGGAGATCCAGACCTACTTTTTCCTTCTAACTCTGCTTTGAAGTTCATCCCTAGAAGTCTCCAGCACCCATTCCAAAACCAGAGGGAAGAGGGAACCAGGTACAGCTGAAAGGCTCGCTTGGGTCCCCAGGGAAGTCCCTCAGCCATACTCACCCTAATCCACGCTTGCATCTAGGGTGCTGACCGTCATTATCCAGGGCCTCAGGCAGCCCTGAGCACCGGCTGCCCAGGCCCTGGCCCTCAGCCCAGCCCTGCCGCTCCATCACTTTCCGCCCAATGCCCTGCAGAGGGAAGGGAGAAGACTCAAGAGATGGGGCTCTTAAGCGGGTGAGGGTGGGAGGGGGAAGAAGGGATGGAATGGGAGTGGAGAAGGAAGAGGGGTCAATGGACTGGGCACAGTGCTCACCTTGGTATGGCGCTCAAAGGTGCCCACCTGGCGTTTGATCACAGAGCCGTCCTCCTGACCATCACGGAGTCTTCGTTCCAGACGCATTTGGACAAAGTCTCGGGCATCCTTGTCTCCACAATCTGAGAAAGCAGAGCCCAGTTTGCAGAAGGGTTTCTCTTAGCAGAATGGGGGAAATTAGGTTTCTAGGACTTCCTCATAAGATTTATGTATTCATCTTTATGGTGTTTTATTACTTCATTATTCTCTCTCATTAGACTGGGAGCTTGCCAAGAGTAGGAACCATGGCTCTCCCATCTGACAGATGAGGAAATTGTGGTACAGAAAGTCATAGAGCCAACAATGAGAGACAGAATTAGAACCAAGTCTTCCCCTCCCACCACCATCCCCAGGTCATTTTTGATTCCAGAATCTAAATTATTAAACAGAGTCTGGGCTCCTAACCCTCCCATTACCAGGGCCTGCCCATCAGACCAGAGCTCCCTGAGGGCTGTCCCCCCATGTCCTTGCGCCACAAAGAAAGAAAAAAGGCTCTGCCTAAAACCAGCACTTAATGTACTTAACTAGAGGTGTCTTAAGAGACGAAATCTCTCAATAAACTACCCCAAGGGAACTGGTGTGCTGTCTCAGCCACTGCTAAGCAGGTCTGGTAGTGTCACTGCAAGGCCAGGGCACCAGTTCCACCTCCCAGTACTGCAACCTCTGACCCAGTACCAGTACCTCTGTCGTAGTACACACTCATGTCCACATCCCAGTCATCAGCTGTCTGTTCATCAAAGTCTGCAGATACAAAAGCAACAAGCAAACAAAGTGAGCTAAGGACTCTCGGTTGAGAGTTAAATCTAGACTTAAACGTATGTTTCTACAACTTGGGGCTTTTGATTGTAGTCTTAAATCTCTCCTCTGGGAGGGTCAGTCAGAATTTGTGGGAGGGCATTCTCTCTTCACGCCACTGATTCCCCCACCTCTACAAAGGGTGACTGGTCTCTCTTATACAGTGAAGGTAAGCCACTTTCCTAGCCCTTCATTTGGGCCCACTGCCAGGGAATCCACCCTGTGGAACAGAGAGCCCTGAGCAAATGGAGCAGGGATCACTCCCACCCTTGCCTAGTGCCGCCATTACCTCCTTCTTTCTCCTGCCAGAACTGGGCATCGGTGTAGAATACCAGGCCAGAGCCACCCTTCTCCCACTTGAGCTCAATCTCCTCCTCAAAGAGTCGCTCAGCAGTGCGCTCCTGCCCGGTCACGTCCTCATGCAGTGCTTCATGCCGCTCCCACTCCTCACCCCGGTCATCGTCCTGGGAGAAGGTGGGGAGAGGTGACCTGCCTGTCTAGCTTCCTGACCTTATGCTCACAAGGAGGGCAGCTCAGGGCACAGAAGGCCCATGAGATGGGCCCTCAGCATCATTCCTCCAAATTTTTCTGAGATGCAATGTATATATTAGCCCATAAGGCCTTGACCAACACATTTCTCCCTCCCATTTCTCAACATACTTGGCTCCTTCCCCTGACAAGCCTGACTCACTTTTATTCCTGTGCTTTTGGTCATGTTATTCCCTCTGCCTGAAATATGTGCCCTTCTCTCTCACCACCTTCTCTTCACTTGGTTAAATCCTCCTCATCCTTCAAGTTCTACATGGCGCCGCCCACACTGAAGCCCACAGCATTCTCATTGGTTCTAAAATTCTCAGTGCTAATCAGTACACACTGTTTAGGCCTTTATACGTGTCAAAAAGAAAGAAGGGACAAGAACTAATACCTATTGTCTACTGCGTGTCAGGCCCTTCACATAACTTAGTTTCTTTAATCACCCCAACAACCCTGTAAGTACCATTATCCCCATTCTACAGATGAGGAAACCTGGGTAAAGTGATTTGCCCAAGATACACCAAGAGAGTGGCAGAGTTAGCATTTAAACCCAGCTCACCACACCATAAAACCTTTCCAGGTGCTGGTTCTCTCCCTTCGGGGAGATTTAAGGCTCTTTGATGGCAGGAAATGGGTCTTAAGAGTGTCTTTGGAACCCTGTGCCAGCCCGTGTTCACAACTGCTTGACAAGACTTGTGGAATGATGGGATGATTCCTGGCTTAAATCTTGGGGCCCCCTGTCCCAGTTAAACTCCAAGAGGCCTCAGGAATCACTGCTGCAGAACAGGTGCTGGAGAAAAAGCAGGACAGTACCAGCTAGGATGTGGTCTGGATGTTAGCAACTCTGAACTTGGAGCTTTGAAGATAAGAGGTAAATTATTTTTTACCCAGAGTGTGCATTGAAAAAACAAAACACAAAAAAAAGGTTCCCAACAAATTACACTGCTCCTGATTTTATCGATGAATAGCCAAGTTTGGAGAAAGAGGTAGAAATGTATATTTCATTAATAAAGTTAAAGTGGAGGCTAGCATTTAATCCATAGACTCAAGGTCAGAAAATAAAGGTGACTTCTCATCCACATAATGAAAGCACACAGTAGTTAGACAAGCAGTAAAGGGGACTGGGTTCACATCCCAGCTCTGCCTCTACTTTCTTAGATGATCTTCTCTCCTGGTCAGAGGTTTTCATCTATGAAAAGGACCCTCCTTACATTCCTTCTGAGGGAATGAAAAGAAGACCCCTGTGAGAATCTTCTGAGAAAACTTCTGGCCCCTCCACCCAAAGAAATGCATATTTGCACATGCAATTGTAGCTTTACTTTCAATGTCAGGGAGTTCTAACTCTTCAGAACCCTCCTGAGGAGTCCAGGTTTAGAACTCTTGTAATGTATAATTGAAGAGTGGTATTATTAATGCCTTGGCTTCTCTAAGCTGCCAGCAAGGACAGGGTGGCTCGCTGTACTCACGTCATCTGAATGTGACTCCGACTCCTCCTTGTCCCCTTCCTCCTCGGGCTCTCCACAGGGGCTGGCTGGTACATCTGTCAGGCAGGTTCCCTGGGGTATCTCCTCACCCTCAGCTGTGTATACAAGCTCTTCCTGCTCCACAGCCTCTGAGTCCTCATACTCAAAGGGCACATTGCCATAGCGTCGGGAGGAGCCTGTCTTGGGGAACTGGAGCTGCAACTGGGTGATGATCCGAGGAGGCAGGCGGCAGGCCCGGATCAGCTCCAAAAACACCCGCAGGGGAGTCCCCACATTTCCATTGGGCATCAGCACCGGTGGGTTCAGCTCTGGCAGTTGCTTCAGGTCGGCCAAAGTGAAGGCTTCACTCTCAGCCTTCCGACTCTGTAATTCCTTCCGGGTCTTGAAGGGAAAGGAGCCCAAACCTTGGAAACAATGGCAGGGAGAAGAATGGCTCTTGAACCCTAGAAGCCTCCAGCAACACTTGAGCCAGAAATCGGTCAAGGTTTAAATCCTTTAGCTTAATGCTGTTCCTCCCTTTCAAATTTCTCCCAAGTCCCTTCCTCTATTCCCTGATCACAACCACCTAGTAATGTCATGCCATTTCTCAGCACCTCAGCTGAACACACAAATCTGTTCCAGATCTGGTTCCTGTTGACCTTTTGATTGTCAACTGCCACCAATC